AACATTTAAAATAGATCAAAATCCAGAACTACCATCTACCATCTTTTTTTTTTTTTTTTTTTTTGAGACCAGCTGCACTGCGCTCAGCCAGTGAGCGCACCAGCCATCCCTATATAGGATCCGAACCTGCGGTGGGAGCGCTGCTGCGCTCCCATCGCCACACTCTCCCGAGTGCGCCACGGGCTCGGTCCCCATCTACCATCTTAATCATTTTTAAGAGAAAGAAAAATCTAATACCAAAAAGATAGATGCATATATTCTCAGTAAAGGGTATTTCCATAAATTGAATAGATGTAGCTTCTTGTAAAATGTCCTTTTCCCCCCTCCTTTTCCATGGACAAGTGAAAACTTTGTTTCCTGCTGGCCCAGGGAAGCCTGACATTTCTGTTACACATCTCTCCCACTCTCCGAGGCTTCACCATTAGAACTCCCATTATTTACTTTCTCAGTTACTTATCAGTTGATTGCATTAGGGAATGAGACTGGACAGTTTCCTCTTCTGGTCGCTTTTTACTTAGTCAATTATGGTACAGTTTTATGATTCCAGTGAGTCTCTCTTCAGCTTCTAGAACCTGCTCTTTGTCTAAAGAAGGGTGAGTACCTGTGTTGTCTATGATTGACTATCAGGTGGGGAATGGAGACTTCATAGGGGACAGCTCTTGAGATGGGGTAACTGAAATTGGGAAATCAATTTCTAAAGCAGATGTGTTTTACCAAGATAGGAAAAAAAATACCTTTATCCCTTCACAAGCATTTTGTTGAAGAATTTAAATAGTATTTTAACATGCATCTCAGTAACTATAGTGACTAATGTGTAGGTTTAAAATTTTTTAAGTTCAGAAATGTGGAAGAAACTAGTACATTTAAAAAAATTTTTACTTAAGTTCTGGAGAAGGCTTTTGTCCTATAAGGTAGTTTAAAATGATGGTTATGCGTAGTTCTTTACTATGTTCACTGTTTTTAGCAACCAAGCTTATAGTTTTTTCTTATTGTAGTGTTTGAGAAACTCTAGGAAGAAACTGTTTATGTCTTCTCTAGTAACAATATCCCAGTTTTCATATTTTAAAAGGAAATACTGTTTGACTGACTAAAATGAAGTTTAAAAAAAACCTACTAGGCCCTTAATTGTCTCTACATGGAGTTCTCATAGACTTGACTTGTGAGATTTTCCATTTTTGATTCATGTTTTTAAAAATTATTATTAGAAATTAATGAAATTCTTATCTATATTTCTCTATGGAATGTCATACTACAAAAGATAGAAAAAATTATGACCTGACATTCATGAATAATGGTAGGAATCTTCTAGAAACATTCATTTTTATAATTTTGTAGCTAAAAGTTAAACTTATGTTTGAAACAGTACAGACAGGGAAAATCTATTTGTTATTAGAATTTAATATATTTTATTAAATATATTTAGAGTTTAAAAATTATTTGTGCTTTGTAAAATAGCTTCCTGTTTTCTGTAAATTTTTAAAACTTTATAATAGGATGTGATTTGAGATAGAGTTTTATGTTCTGTTTTAAATAAAGTATTAATTCTGTTTCTTTATTGGTAAATAATGTTTTACTGTGTTAACAGTAACTTGTAACAACTTGAAATAAAAAATACTCTATTAATCTTGTGATCTAATATAATTAGTTACAGTTTGGTCTTTAATAGAACTAGAATTGTTGATATTCTTACATGATTATTAAGTGTGTTCTAGACAATACTTTTGTGGAGTAAAATGTGTCTGTATCAAGCATCATATAGAACCAGTCTTCTGTTTGGGTCTTCTTTTAAGTGAATGGGTTAATTCACGTAATAGTTCTTTTTCTTTTCTTTTTTTTTCGTGTAATAGTTTTTGTGTATGTAGTTTCTAAAAGGACTTTTAACCTAGTAAATAATTTTTAAAGGGAAGTATGAAAATTAAAACATATAAATACAAGCAAGATGATGATAATTAATGACTTTGGGTTACTGCCAGCATAGTTATATGGCACCAGCTCATGTCAGCCCAGTGGGTCATCTGGACAGTTTTGTTAACTGCCCAAATGCTTTCTTTCTTCCTTTAGCATTTGACATTTCAGAGTTAAACATATCTATCTATTTGGGAAGTTCTTTTCATATAATAGTATGTCATAAATATGGAAACATGTTCTGGAAAAAAAAAGATTTCTCCGCACCCCATTTCTTTATAAATGGTTAAGTAAAAATTGGCAAATATTAGATCTGAATGTTTCTGGTGACAACAGGAGTCCAGGTATGGGGTTTCATATTCTTGACTGCTTTGTCAAAGATAATCAATATGGAGCAAGTAGCACTATAATCTCAGAGCTGTGATCACAGTCTTTACGCTTTCCATCTTTCTCTCCTTAATGGTTTATCTTGATTTATTCTGCATAAAACTACTTTTTATATGACTATTAACCATCCTACTTAACTTGTAGGTTTACCAACATAAGAATCCTAATAGAGCATGTAAAGCAGAGCATCCCATATGAATTAAAGATAGAAGTTAAAAATAGAAAACATATAAACATGACCCATTAGAATTCAGTACAATGTGTAGAAATAATTTTGCTATGATTTTGTTTTCTTTTGCAGACGCATGTTGATCAGTACTCATGTATTTATCAGCTGTGAATCTTAGCTAGACCTAGTTATGATAACATTTTATGTCTGTGGATATTTTTCTTTATTAGTGATCTGAAGATAAAGGTGGGGGGCAGGCACATCAGTGCTCACAAGTTTGTCCTGGCAGCCCGCAGTGACAGCTGGAGTCTGGCCAACTTGTCTTCCACCAAGGAGCTGGACTTGTCAGGTGAGCCTCTGACCTATCAGGGACACAAAACTGTTAGCAAAAGAACTCTTGGCAGAAGGTTATTGTGTGTCATTTTGAAATATTTGTGGTTTAATGAAAGTAGAATACTTTACTTACCAATTGGTGAACATGAACTAGTTAAATATTTAGTGAATCAGGTTATACTTTGTGGATGCTTCTGTTTAATATCTGGCTAACGAATTGTAAATCTTTGAGTATCTACAATGTTCTTATAATTTATAAAATATAAGTGTCTTTCCATAAGCTCATTCATATAACAGGATAACTATGGAAGCATGTGCAGGAAAAAGTTTTTCCTCTACTTCAAGAAAAAGTTCTGTTGTCGAGTTGCTTAAAATTTAAAAATAGCTGCTGAAGTACTTTTTCTGGTTTATGAGAATTAAACTCAGAAGTAAAAGTTACTCTCTAGAATAATGATATTCTTCCTTTAACATCAGTGGATGACCATCATTCTTCAAAATTTTAATAGGTGTGGGTAGCTGTGTGAGGTGGTGGATATGTTAATTTGTTTCATCATAGTAACCATTTTACTGTATGTATGTATCTCATAACATGGTGTTATATACCTTAAATATACACAATAAAATTTATTTTTAAAAAATTTCAGTAAGTACGTTAGGCTATTTAATGTTGTTATTCGTTTTATGCCACGTTATATTGTGTAGGATTTGGATAAGTATGGTGGTAAGTGGACTTAAAAACATCATTTTTAGAAGTTAACTCTAAATTGCATTTTGGGGCTGGTTTAGTTGGTTAGAGCGCAGCCTTGTAACACCAAGGTCATGAGTTCAGATCCCTGTATCAGCCAGCAGGTCCCCCCCACCCTCCGTGCTGCTGCAATAACATTTTTATTTAATACTTGCCTAATTGCTGTTGGAGAATAAAAGGCAAAAGGCAGTTTTTTTTTTTTTTTTTTTTTTTGGGGGGGACAGCTGACCAGTACAGGAATCGAACTCTAGACCTTGGTGTTAATGGTACCATGCTCTAAACCAACTTAACTAACTGGCCAGCTGCCCCCTCCCCCTCTTTTTTTTTTGCTGTCCTGTACAGGGATTGAACCCTGGACCTTGGTGTTATCTATCAGCACCATAATCTAACCAACCAAGCTAACCAGCCAGCTAAAAAGGTTTTAATTAAATTTTGCTATTAATAGTCATGAGAATTATAACATATGGTGAGGAGAATATCCAGGCATTAAAATATGAGGTATTTGTAGAAATGATTGGCTATGTGAAAATTCTGCTGAATTATATCTTTGTTCAAAAGATTCACCAGTTCAGAAGATACTGTTTTGCATATGCGGTGCTAGGAACACTGAGATCATTATAACATGGTCCCTGCCATATGGAGCTTATACTCTGCTGGAGGGAAGAGGCTATTAGCAAATAATTTCAGGCCAGACTATGAATACAGTAACGTTAATTGCTTTATTTATAAGGTACAAAAGAAATTAAGTTGGACTGCTAAGAAAGGTATCAGAGGCAAGCACTGTTGCTAAGGATAAGTATGCATTTATCTTGTGGATTTAGGGGACCAGATGTCTAAGGTTCTCAACTGAGAGTGAACTCTGTTTCTGTATGATAATTTCTAGGGTTTAACTTGATGTCCATAATTCAGAGTTATTAACACAAATATGCATACATGCATACACATGTGCATATACATCCATGCCTATAACTAAGACATCTGCTTGGGAAACAATCTTTACTGGAAGAACACCAGTCCCTGTGATTGAAATCTCAGAGCATAAGTTTTCTTTTTTAAAAGTTTAATCTTTTGAAGCCATATATCTTTGACCTCATATATATCATGAGGTTTTTTTCACAAAATGTATGGTAGGATCTTAATTATGTGAACAGACAGTTTGCAAAGACTAGAATAGATAATAAAAATATGGAAAATATTCAACTTTGTTAGAAAAAAGTTAAGAATAAGCTACCATCTTTTGATATCTATATTATCAAAAATTGGTGATCCCAGTAGTTGTGAGGCTCATGAAGGTGGTACTCTTGCACATTGCTAGTTACATTATAAATGAGTATGGCAGTTTTAGAAAGCATTTAGGCAGTTGAGCTATGAAATATTCTTTTTTTAACTTCATTTTCTGACTTCTGGGATACTGTCATAGGCAATTCAGACAGCATTGATGTTTATCACAGTTTTATTTGTAATTGTGAAATATTGATTGCAACCAGAATGAGTAACAGTCGGAAAAATAAAATTTGACTGCTTTCCCGAATAAGCAAAATTATATAAGAATGCAGAAAATTGCATTAAGGAATGAAAAGCCTGATTTAAACATTGAATTTAAAATTTTGCTTTATATTGAAATTTTTTAGTATATCATAAAATTCAAGACCAGTTTTAACTCAGTGCTGTCTGGCCACAGGATGGCTTTGCTGTGAATTAGGAGGTTTTCTTGAGTTTGGGAAAGTGTAATGTTAATGCCTTTAAATGTCCCTGGACTCTCCAGTTGTAAATCATTAGCATGTTTTGATCCTACTATAAGGTTTGTTTTGAGGAATCATCTACTTGAAAGTGAATGGTTTTTGTTCCTTTGGTAGATCAGGCACCTACCAAGATAGCTGGTCTTGGCATTAGAACCTGTGGTATCTTTACTTTTCCTTATGAAATTTGTCTTTGAAGTGTGTCATGGTGGAGAGTCCATGGTAGTGGTGGCACATGTGGAGCTGTTCATGTTTAATTGTGTGTTTTGCTCAGCAGTCCTGCTCATTGCCTGGGTGTAGGGATGATTGCCTAAATCTGGAGTTGCAGCAGCTGAAACTGCCTGGGAAGCATGTGTGTTATCTGATACCTGGAAGCATTAACACTGCATGGCTGGCCAGCAGTTTGAAGGAGATTGGAAAAAGGCTCTTGTAAACAAGTGTATATAAATAGCATAAAAGCTATGTTTTAAAAGGTTGAGCTATTTCCACACTAAGAGATTTGATAAAGTCATTTTATGAATTTATTGGTGTTTTGCTTCTTCAAAATGATTTCCTTCATAAAACAAATGCTGAGTGGCAGGCATTTTTTAAAAAGCTATGGCTACAGTAGTGAACAACATTAAATTCTTGCTTGCATGGGATTTTTATTCTTAGGAAGATTGACTTTCTAAGCTCCACATTTTCTTTTGAAGTTCTTGTCTAATTGATATTTCTTAAAATTCAGAACAAACACAATTTGCTGTTAATTATTATAAGAATTTTAGCACATGTTGATGAAATACAACAGGCATTATATACCGAGTGTTTAAAAAGTATTTGTATATATGAAATTTTTATTAAATCATACCATGGTCAAAAAAGTGAAATGTTTTTTATCTGATGTGATATACTGACGAAGGCACAATCACTTCTGATTCTTGCCATAAATGTATAACCTCAGTCTAATCATGAGAAAACATCAGACAAACCCAAATTGAGGAACATTTTACAAAATAACTGGCTGGTGTTAATCAACCATGTTAAGGTCATGAAAGGCATGAGAGACTTAGGAACTATTACAGATTGGATGAAAATAAGACATGACAATTAAATGCAGTGTAGAATCCTCAACTAGATTCTGGACTATAAAAAGGATATTATTGGTAAAATAAGGTCTGCATTATTTTAATAGTTAATAGTATTGCATTAGTTAACAGTATTGTATATATTACCTAATTATCCAGTTTTGATCATGGTTTTGTGTTTATGTAAGACTTTAATATTGGGGGAAGATGGATAAACCATATATGGGAATACTCTAACTTTTCTCTAAGTCTGAATTTATTTTAAAATATAAAGATTAAAAAGGTACAAATTTGCTTTTTATTTCTTATTGAGTATCAGGATATAAATTTAAGTATGTGAGGTGATGGATGTGTTCATTAGTTTAATTTGACCATTTCATAATGTATACATATATCAGAACATCACATTGAATACTGTAAACATATAACATTTTTATTTGTCAACTATACCTTAGTAAAAAACAAAGAAAAAATATGTTTATGAAGATACTGATTATTCAACCAGGAAGAGAAAGAATATGACTATTAGTTTAATACATTATATCAAGTCCCGAGGCCCGGAGGAGAGCACTATATTTACTTCTTTGTGAAGAAAAGCAATTTGCTCCAGATAAAATGATTTGTTTATAGCCTCCCTATAGCACTTTACCAATAGCAGCTAACATTATGAGAGGTTCCAGCGCATTAGAATGTCTGTTTTAAAACTAGGGGTTTTTTGCATACTTTCTCAAGCCAGGATCTTATGGTTTCCTGGCATAAGAGCTTAGGGTGTGAGTAATTCAGCTTTCCTGGAATGTGTCCTGGGTCCTGTCAAGCCATTCCAAAGAGCAGAAAACATCCTCCTTCCCTTCTTTTCAGTCTGGTTAGGAAAGCTCTGCACTGAAGCACCACCTGGGGCGGTTTCACTGTGCAGTGGAAAGAGCATAGGTTCCCAAACTTGGCTAAGGTACTCCAAAGTGCTACAGTAAACTCGCGGGGGCTGTGTTCCTTTTGACGACATCTGTAGTAATTTTAAAATATGCTTACAGATTCTTTGATAATTCTTCCCTTCAAAGGTAGATTCCAATGCACCTCATCTTAAATATAGGCTGACTGACCTCTAATGAGTAGAATGTGGTAGAAGTGACAAGCTACTTCAGACATACGTTCTTAAAAGACGTTGTGGATTTCTTCTTGCTCAGTCTTTTGGATTGCTTACTTTGAGGGAAGTTAGCTGCATGTCATGAGGGCACTCAAAACAGCCTTATGGTCTCCTGCCAACAGCTGAGTCCCACCCCCAGAGATTCTCTTAGAGCTCCAAAAAATCTATTCCTATCCGTGGTTATATCCTGATGTTGCTTTTGTATTTTTCTCTCCAATCTTTGGTTATTCTACATTTATCTTTGGGTTGGTTTAGTCCACATTTGGTTTGAGTTGATTAATCATTCTTTTAATTTTTGTTTGCTTAGCCAATTCAGTAAATTTTAAA